GGCTTTGTCTCGCTGCTCCGCGGGTGAGTGAAGTCGGGGGAGGCCGGGAGGACAAGGCCGAACTTTGCGGGGGTCCGGACATCGTCCCTGGGCCCCCAGGCGGGGCAGGTAGCGCATCGTGCACCTCTGTCTAGCTCCTGTGCCGCTTCGAGCCTGGGGAGTGTCTCCCAAGGGTCTCGGATGTGGGAGGAGAGGCTGGGACTGAGGGGGAGGTTCTGGCTGAGGCGGGAGTGGCCGAAGGCTGCGGGTCTTGGGGGTGGGATAGGCCGAGGCAAAGTCATTTCTGGAGCCTGCATATCTTGCACGCAGTAGACCCTGAACAGATAGATGTTCCCAGTAGCTAGAGGCGCCCCTCCTGGCAACAGTGGCCGTCGCGGGTAACTGCTGCCCTCGTCTCATCTCCTGCCGCTGTGCCCAAGCCAGGAACTGGGTCTCCACCCTCGTTTTATGGAAAAGGAAAACAGGCACGCCACACTGAGCCTGGAGACCACCGTGCCATCTAGCTTGTCATCATAACAGAAATAATATCACCCTGGAAATAATCTGCACAAGCGGAGGATGCGCCCCTTGCCGCCTTAGCTCTCGGTTTCCTTATCTCTAGAATGAGGTAGGAAAATGAGGTGATCCTTCAGCAACACCTAGAGTAATGCCCAGGCTAGCGCCAGGCACACAAGGCGCTCAGAGAATGCCCAGCTGAGATTTTACAGGTATTAAATGTGGCCTGTGTGCTGGGCTCTGGCTTCTACACTTACAGCGTTAATTGCCTGTACTTAAGAGTTCCAGGGCTTGGGGTCAGCAATTGCCACGGGTCCTTTCCAGACTCTCACATCCTTTTGCCCCTAGAACTGGAGCTGGCTGTTCATGCAAAAGGCTGGAAGACAAGGGAATGACCGCAGGGCTTCTCAACCCCAGAGCCTCCGTGAGTATGCCCTGGCCTCCCAGATTCCTCTGCAGCCTAGCCCTGGGGTCCCCACCAGGCTCATCTGGTCTGGCCTCTGCTGTCATTCTCCCCTAGCCAGGAGCACCCTTTACCAAGTTCTGCATCCTTCTCTTGGACACAGTCACCTCTTCTGAGAGGATTCCTAGATTCTCCCCACCAACTCCAGCTGTGCTGGAAGATGATGTCCATGCATCCTGAATCCACCTTAGTCACTTTGTGCTGTAGGCATACCTGAGGTTGAGGAATTTGTAATGAGCAGAAAATAATGGACTCCCAGTTCCGGAGGCTGGAAGTCCAAGGCCAAACCACTGCAGTCTGGAGATTCTGATTCGAAGGTGGCCCCTGAATGGACAACCTCCAGAAGAATGGTGAGGAGAGAAAAGGGCAGAACTCACCAGGCGCTCCTAAGGATGGCCGGAAAGAACTGGTCTCCTGTGGGGTATCAGGGAACACAAGAAAAGTGTAATGGAAATGCCCTTGAACCACTCAGTTTCCTCCCAGTACCATAGTGTTTGTCTGGGGATGATGTTTTTACCATGTTTGGATGTCTGAAAACAAAGAGGAGAATACAGTTATGTAGAGTCTCTACCTGGTTCATTTTCTGTGTTCCCTCCATCACCAATTGGTTCAATTCTCCCCCACTCCTTTTCTTTTAAAGTCAGACATCATTTCCCACAATGAGGTATCCAAGTGTGCCACTTGGTAACAGCATTATGGATGTTTCAGCTGAGGGACAGAGGATCCCAGTCATATGGGGCTCCCTCATGACCCTTCTAGTTGTTGCCTCTTTCTGTGGTTGCCACTGTGACACCTCAGGCATCCTGTGTTTGAGAGGGAGCCAGATAGGAGGGGTCAAGCCTTGCCTGTCCCAGGATCAGAACCATCATTCCAGCCCCTGGGAAGCCTTTATTCTACCTACCACACTCACTTTTCCACTTTCTTACTTAGCGTTTTATATCTTATTTGTGAGGGCTTTCTCTGCCCCAGATTTATTAAAAGAATAACTTGTACTTTTCTAGCTTTATTTCTTTTTACATTTGCTCTTTAAATTTTCTGGAATTTCTTTTCATCTATGGAGTGAAGGAAGAATGTACTATTATTTTTATCCCAGAGGGCCAGTTGACCTGATATGCCCATTGATTTGAAATGTTCCTGTTACCACACTGTTATATCCACTTCTACATGGGTCTTCATATACTTGAATTTAATTTATACAGTGAATATAATAAAATCACCCATGACCAGCAGTTAGTGTAATGGCTATGTCACTTGACTCCCATGTAGTCGACCGCGGTTCAAGTCCCAGATCCGGTGGCTTAAAACTCATGGCGGGCACATGTGCATACGTGCCCAAGATCCCGAGAGGAAAATGAGGAGATGGGATTGTGGCGTGGCCATCCCCCCTGGGGGGTGATTTCTCACTTTCTGTCTCTCTGTCTGGCAAGCGCATGCGCCCTATAGCAAAAACCTCTCCAATAAATAAATAAATAAATAAATAAATAAATAAATTAAAAAAATAACCCACACTCAATCCTTAGACTTTCTACTTGGTAGCTATGTACCTTTGGGCAAGACACACTCTCCCAGCCTTTATAAAATGGGCTCACAGTAGCACAGACATCTTGAGTTGCTGATGAGATTAAATGGGATGCAGTATATTGGTCCTGGGACCAACATACGTGACTCTGTAACGTGGGTGATGGTTTTATTGACTTGGTTTTTTAACTCTGTAATTCATCTAGAATATGATAGAGTCTACTGAGGAGGATTAAGGTAGATTTTCTCCTTACATGGCTAAATAATTTTCACTGCTGTTTTCAAAGTGATCCTCTCTTCCTCATTAATTTGGGCTTCTTTCTTCCTGTATCAGGATGTAATTTTATACTGGGCTATTTCATTTACTTGTTTCCCTGCCAATACAAATGGTTTTATTATTATTTTATCATATATATTTTTATGTCTGATGAGGTTTAGTCTCCCTTTAATAATCCTGAACCACCATCTCTCCATGTTTAGCCCATACATGCTCTGTACATTCAGCCATTATTATCTTTTTAAAAAAATAATTATTTTATTTAACTTTTGTGGGAAGCTGCACACCAGCGAGTCTGCCGAGGTTTCTCAGAGAGCAAACAATTACCATGATTGGTTCCCTTCCAAAAACCTGACCTTCGAAACCTTGCTCTGATTGGCCACTAGAATCCCTCAAATTTGCATATCCAGCACCTCATGATTGGTCCAGTGTCCTGACCCCGGGGGACAGCCGAACGGGTTTCCTGAGTGAAGGAGTGAGAGCCGGGACAAGCAGTGTAGTGTTACAGCACGGAGACGACAGTGTTGTCTGTTTATTGTGGGCAGCACGGTACAGCACAGAGATGACGCAGTGTCGCGTCGTCTACTGTAAGCAGCACGGAGACGACGCGGTGTCACAGCTCTTCAGGGTCGTCCCGAGACGATGTAGTGTTACAACTCTTCAGGGTCTCCCAAGTCGTCTGGAGAAGATGCAGTGTCAGCTCTTCGGGATCTTCAGGGTCGTTTGGAGACTGCGCGGTGTTTCAGCTCTTCAGGCTCTTCAGTTGTC